ACATTTAAAACTTCAAAATCAAAAGTAAGAAGATCTATCGATACCCCGTGTTTTCTCGAATAATTCTGTTGAGCTGCTGTTAAAAATCCTTGGGGGAAATAAAAAGCTGGTAGCCAATACATATTAGGTTCTTCTCCGGCAAACCATTCCTAAAACAAATTAAAAGAAATTTGTTGTAGTTGGTATATGCATATATTCATTCATATTTATCGAATGTCAATTAAAATTTTATAAATAAAAAGCTTGTTCTCTCTCTGTTCGCATTGAGTGCACTTGTCTATTGATAATAAATCAAAAAACATAAACACAAAAAGAAATAAGAAAAAAAAAAAAAAAAAATAAAAAGTAATAATTGGTCGAAAACGTGGTTTATCGTCCGATTCAGATGTTAAACACGTCAAGCATATTAAGATGCCGCGTGTTAAAGGCTCTAATATCCATACAATAGATGTGAAAACATCAAATAAAAATGATAACTATTGGCAAATTTTGCCAGCTCAAGTACGTGATGATGAATCACCTAATATGGACACTTATAAAAATGAAAATAATGCTCAAAAAATCAAAATACCACCAATTACGCTATTAAAAAAATTACCTAACTTTGTGCATAATCTAATGTTAAATTTAAAAATTAATGATTACTATGTTAAAAAAATTTCAATTGGAATTAAAATATTCTTAAATTCTGATGAATCATATTTAAAAACATGTGCTGCACTTAAAGAAAATAGCTGTGAATTTTTTTCATATGGAAAAAAAAAATGATAGGCCTTTCAAAGCAATTTTGTCAGGCCTAGATAAAACAACAACAACTGAAATTAAAAATATATTATGTGACTTACAACTCAAATGTGTTGATGTTAAACTTATTGAAAAAGTAACTAGGTTCAATACTAAAATTATTTTATATGTTGTTTATTTTGAGAATAAATCAATAACTTTACAACAATTAAAAAGTGAATTTTGCTATATCCAGCATCATAAAGTACGCTGGGAATATAAAAGAAAAAATATTAATAAAATTACCCAATGTTATAATTGCCAGATGTTTGGGCATGGTGCTACTCACTGCCATATCAAAACATTCTGTGCTTATTGTGCACAAAGCCATAAATCAATGGACTGTCCTAATAAAGATAATATCAAATGTGCTAATTGCGGAAATAAACATCATGCTAATGATATTTCTTGTAAACTTTTTCCCGGTAACCTAATGAATGCAAGTAATAACATCAATCAACAAAACAACAACTGTTATCAAGCGAATACCTGGACAAAATTCAGAGATCATTCTAATAGTAGTATTTATAATAAAACTTCTGATAACAATAATATTACTACTAATGGTAACATGTCATTTACTTATACTAACAATGCTAATAATAACTTGTTCTCTATTACTGAAATAAATGAATTAATGTCAGAATTATTAAATAAATTACGTAGTTGCAGTAACAGGGAGCAACAATTTAATGTTATAACACAACTTGTATTTAAATATTTGTATGGTAATAATGCTAAATAATCTCAATGAATTGAATGTAATAATTTGGAATGCTCAATCATTTCAAAACAAATCTTTAGAATTTTTTAATTTTATGATTTTGAATGGTGTCCACGTTGCCCTTATTAATGAAACTTGGCTTGTTTCAGGTATTAAAGTAAGTAATCCTAATTTTATTATTTACAGGAATGATCGCACACACAGTAGGGGTGGTGGGGTCGCCATTATTATTCAAAAAAATATTAATCATGTGTTGTTGCCAGTTTATGAAACTCATGTTATTGAAAATTTAGGAGTTGAAATATCTTTCAGTGGTGGTGATTCAGTCAAGTTGTTTTCGGTATATGTCCCCGGAAATACGGCTAGATGTTTAAAATTAAATTGCAATGATTCATTAAATATTAATAGTAATAAATTTAATCACATAAAAAAAATGTTCAAGGCTGATTTATTGAAATTCTCTAGATGTCCAGGTAAATTCGTTGTAGGTGGTGATTTTAATTCGCGTCACAAATTATGGGGCTGCTTAAGGGCAAACTCTTATGGTAATATACTTAAGGAACTCTTGGAACTTGATAAATTTAAAATTTTATATCCTGATGATCCGACTTATATCCCTACTAACTCTAGGGCTAATCCTTCTACTCTGGATATATTTTTGACTAATGCTGAAGATTATATTTCTAGTCCTGTTGTAGTGAATGAACTTTATTCTGGTCATCTTGCTGTAAAAATAAAAATAAATAAAAAACATGTTTTTGACGACAATTGCCATTTGGATTATAGAAATGCTGACTGGTCTATATTTACGAATTACCTCAAGGAAAATTTCTCTAATATTGTGGCTCAAACGTTTACCTATACACATGAAATTGATAACATTTTGTCGCATACTTACGGTGCGTTAGCACAAGCCATTGATTTGGCTATTCCAAAAAAGGCCGTCGGGTTGCGCTGCAATTCGCTTCCGAACCACATTTTGCAACTCATCGCTATAAGAAATAGTATTAGAAGGAAATGGTTTCGTACTAGAGCCCTTCTTTTTAAGGCCCAGGTTGCTTATTTAAATGATATTATTAAAAATAAAATTAGTGAGTATAGAAATATTAGGTGGAATGGATTATTAAAAACTTTAGGTAAAAACTCTAAACCCTTTTGGCGCGTTTGCAAAATAATTAAAAATAAAAATAGTATTATTCCCCCATTATTAGTTAATGGTACTAAATATGTTACGTGCTCTGAAAAAGCTAATATTATTGGACAGCAGTTCGAATCTAGGCACAAGCAGGCCACTGACATTGGTGATTTAGTTTTTACAAACACGGTTAAGTCTTATGTATCCACACTGGATGACTCTGAAGTTATGTTATCTGCGCAGGATTGTATTACTACTCTTGAAGTTAGAGATGTCATTGGAAGTCTTAAATGTAAGACTTCATCTGGTATTGATAAAATTTCAAATAAATGTATTAAATCTTTTCCCAATTGTTTTATTAAACATCTTGCATTTATATTTACTTCTTGCCTGAGATTGGGTTACTTTCCGGATAGGTGGAAAGAGGCTAAAATTATTGCCATATTGAAACCAAATAGGGCTCCCAACCTCCCCCAAAATTATAGGCCAATTAGTCTGTTAAGCAATTTGTCAAAAGTCTTTGAAAAAATTATAAAAACTCGCTTATCTGAATTTATAGACCGAAATAATATTTTCCCTGACGTTCAATTTGGTTTCAGGACTGGACACAACACTCTACATCCCTTAACGAGAATAAAGAATTTTATTAAAAATAGTTTAGATGATAAAAAAAGTGTTGGTATGGTTACTTTAGATATTGAGGCTGCTTTTGATTGCGTATGGCACGACGGACTTATTTATAAGCTATACATGTTAGGTTTTCCTTTATATTTAATTAAAATCTTAAATAGTTATCTAATAAACAAAAAATTTAGGGTACATATAGGTAAATTTATGTCTGAGCTTTTTACTGTTCCAGCAGGTGTTCCCCAGGGATCCGTTTTGGGTCCCTTGTTGTACAATGTGTATACGTCTGACATTCCCAACCTAACGGGTTGTATGACGTCAATTTTTGCTGACGATACTTCGGTCTTGTGTGCGGGTGCTCTTGGACTGGAAATTGAAACTGTTTTGCAACGTGCTTTAGATACATTACATAATTACTTTGCCAGGTGGAGAATTTCAATAAATGCCCAAAAGACGTGTGCTATGTGTTTCACTAGAAAGCGGAAAAATTGTTATAAACCACTAAATAAGTTGCGCTTGAAAAACTGCCGCATAGACTGGATTCAATCGATAAAATATTTAGGTATAATTCTTGATTCAAGGCTTACTTTCATGCAGCATATAAATTATATGAACGATAAAGCTGATAAGTACATAAAAATACTTTACCCTTTCATAAATCGAAATTCTAGTTTGTCTGTATCTAATAAATTATTAATTATGAAATTAATATTTCAATCAATTTTACTATATGGTGCTCCGGTATGGGGTGACTGTGCTAAAACACACATTTCCAAATTGCAAATTAAGCAAAATAAAATTTTAAAGATGATGCTAAATTTACCGTTTTTCTACTCTACTATAAAATTGCATCATAGGGCTGGCATTGATACCATTCAGAAAAATATCTTAAAAATAAAAGAAAAATTTAACATGAATTTAGAAAATTCATCAAATAATCTAATTAGAAATCTTTTTCAACCTTAGGTTGTCATTTAGTTATAGGTAGTTCTAAGTTCTAGTCTAAGTTTTATTTTTAGTAATTTTAATACCTAAGGTTTTTCCAATTTTCCTTGTAAATTTAATTATAGTTCTCTAAATAATTAAATTTGTTAAAAAAAAACTTATCTTAGCTGTGAAGATTATTATATATCCAATCTAATCTCTAAATAAATTAAGAATCACATAGTACAAAAAAAATGTAAATATAATAGTTTAATAAAATAATAATAAAAAAAAAAAAATAAAAAGCTTATGATTTTCTATTATGATTGTGACATATATAAAAAAAGAAGAATGGAACAATATCCATATATTGTTCTAACGATACCTCGTTAAAAAAACGAGAGTGCGCTGAAAATGCAAATTAGTGATAATTATAACATACGTATTTTAAAATTAGTTAATCCAAGGAACTTGTGGTAATGATAGAAAATTTGTGTAACAAAAAAAAAATAATTGACTCAATTAGAAAAACAAAAAGATATAGACTGTAAATATGTTCAATGCTTAAAAGTATAAAAACGAAAGCGTTCATAATACAATTGTTGAGTTGAATAGTGAAGTATTTAATATTAAAATAAAGTTGAGTTAAACTAATGGTTTATAATATACTACTTTTAACAAGTGAAAATATTGCTTTTAAAATTTTTTTGGTTATGTAACTACATTATTAAAATTACTTTAATTTGCATGTACAAAAATGTTTTAGTGAATGCAATCTTTGCAATGAAACAAGAAAAAAATTAAAAGTGGAGTTAACATAATGCTCGAATTTAAGGGTTAGTTGCTTGAGTTAAGAAAAATAATTATATTTTTTAATGGCATGGTATTTACCGTTTCCGCATTTATAGATATTTGGATATTCTTGCATTTTTGGAAATATAAGGCGTCAAAAACTCAAATTTTACAAATTCAAGGAGGTGATAAGAGAGGGTGGAGGTGGAAAAAATTTTGCTTTTATGTTTAAAAGCTGCTAAAATTTCAGGATCCTAGAATTTGAGGTCCAGAAGAAAAACGATATCAAAAATAAAATTTCAAAAACGGGGAAAACGGTTTCTAGATAACATTTTAACTGCCATTTTGTTATTTTAAAGTTCCGATTTGGTATGCTGCAGCAGAAGAAGTCAGTTACTACATTTTCTGTGTTTGCCAAATCTGAATAATACTTACGATTTCGCTGTAATAAATAATTAAAAAATCTGATGTGTTCAGCACATAACCGACCGCAATATGTACTGTCCAGTTAGGTGAAAGTGTTACAGAAGATTATAAAAATACTTTTTAAATACTTTCTCTTAAATTTTAGAACGTCAGTAAGCTTTGTGCCATCCGAATTCCGACTGTGAGTCTCGGCTATTAGTTTCCGTAGCAACCAGAGTTCAAATATCAAATTTCAAGAAATTATATTAACTGGTTCCGCAGATATGATAAAAAACGTAAAATCCGGCCCAGTTTGGTTTCCGGTCTCTGATGTTTCCAAAAAGTTTATACATTCATTGTTTTAATACTCCTAATTCAAATATTAAATTTCAAGAAAACTGGTTGATTATTTCTCTCTATATACAGAAAGATTCGAAATTGGCCCGCAAAAAAAGTCATTTCCGTAGGCTTGATATATCCCAAAAGTTGATCTGTGACAATAGCCAAAATAAACTTACATATAAAATTTAATGAAAATCGGTTTAGCTGAACTTGAGATACACGTGCACACACCGAGACATCTCTAAAAATAGTTTATTTACGCTTCCCTACTGTGGAGAAATGCGTTCACACCGAAAAATCGATAAGAAAAATATGTTGCCATTACATGATCTCCCTTATTGTATGCAATGCGGACGGTAAAAATGGTATTTTCAGGAACTATGAATTTTAAAGGTAAAAATTTTCTAGAAAAATAAATTTCTTGTATGATCTATATACATATGAAATTTTAGCTTTCTGTCTTCAAGGATATAGAATTTCAGTAAACATGTCCAACATTTTCGATTTAATTTCAAATCTTCATCTAGGCTAAAATAATAATTTAATACGACAATAATGTTTTTTACAATATTTTTTATATGTTATATATGTACACTTCATTAAGTTATTAAAAAATTATTAATTTTCTGTTAACATAATTTACTAACTTTATCGCTCTAATAAATTAATTTAATAAAATTTTTAAAATCGACGTCTACTTTGTTTTAATAAATAACCTATAAGTAAATAAAAAGAAGGTTAACACAGTTGTAGATGGATCAAAACTGACTCTTACAAAACTTGAACTATAATAAAAATAAAAATATGACAAATCAAATGTTTTGATCTATTGTTTGTTACATTGGGGTTACCGCTTGTGTTAAATTTTTGGAATTTTTGGCTAACCTCTAATATAACCAATGTTCATCATTATATTAAAATTGATTAATGACGATATTAACATTCTATAAAAATTTTTGAATGTGACTTATTAACTATTTATTATGATGACTGCAACAATTAAAAGATTTTCGTTAGAACTTCGCAATATCCCAAGTAACAATTTTCAAGAGTAATACCCTAAAAAATTTACCAAATCTCTCATAAAACTCTCATACCACACTCCAATACTCTCATAATTTTTTTTAATCTTAATTTTCTTATAATAATACTTAGGTTCTTATAATAATACTTAGCACTTATAGTGTTAAAAATTCTGCTATTCTCATAGCAAACCTACGGCCATTTTAGTATAGTCATTTTTCTTTATCTAAATTTTAACACTAATAAGACTGAGAATTCTTTTTTTTTTGGAAAGAAGTCTGAAAAATATTTATTGTACAGAAATTATTAAATTGAAGTTAATGAAATTCAAAATTATAGTTTTTATTGAATACAATAAAGCTTTAGTTGGAATTAATGCACATTAGTATATTTATTTTTTGTTTAACAATTCTTAAATTTTAAAATTTATGTAAAAGAAAGAAATAAGATATCATTTGGCTAAAAAATATGCATAAAAATTTTTTAAATTTTAATTATTTTAAGTACAATATCAACTTTTATCAATAAAATTTTAATGCGAGAACTTTTTGATTTATAATAATGGCAAAAAAATTATTTTAATTTCCCATATTTATAATTTTATGATATTAAGTTTTTGAATAGAAATATTTATTGATTACATATCATATACGTAAACGTATGTATATTTTGTTTCGTTTTTGTTAAAAAATTTATTAAAAATTATTAAGAGCGGAATAGATATATTTTTTATAAAGTTCGAAGTAAGACCGACATATTTATTCTATAAAGTATTGCTTTTTCTTTCTAGTAACACTATTATAAATGGCTTGTGAGAATTTTCGTATACCAAAACTAGTATGAGAGTTATATGCTTTAAAAACTCTTTTAATGGGAGCCTACGTGTAACTCTCATTACAAGAATTAATAACTCTAGTAATTGCGCTCTTTTGCTCTTATAAAGATCTCATTAGGGTCTTTTAGTGTTCTACACGACTGAAATTATAAGAGTAATATTCTTGAAAAATTCTTAATATAGCTCTACAAGAATCTTATGAGATAAAAATTGTTACTTGGGATAGTTCAATACTTTGTGAAAGATAAAACTGTAAACGTACGAAATTAGAAGTGGTATAATTTAGTAATATTAAAGTTGAAATTTATAATAAAAAGTTGAAAATGTAATAAAGCGTTATAGTTTTAAATTCAAACGAGCTTCGGTATATGAACTGATATCTTAATTCAAAAATTCAGTAAATGATTCTGATTCTCTAAATATTAAAGCAATTCTTATTCTAAAAATTGCTACAAACAAAGAACAATTAAATAAATTATAAAGAAATGTGTTTCATATGTACTGCTAATTGTGAAATTCAAATTTTATTTCAACATTACATCAAAAAGAATCACATGGGGAGTTAGTGAATTTTTAAAGCATTTTTTAGCTTTTTATCGTAAGAATAATGGAATTCAATAATTTTTCCAACAACTATTCCAGTAGCGTCGTGAATTTTACTCTTGTGTGAAATGCTTTACAAGATTATTTATAAAAAAAAACCTTTATTGTATACTTACGAGTAACTTTTTGGTTTTCACAATAGAAAACTTTAAAATAAATCAAAGAAATTAATCATATTTAAAATTACTTGAAAAAAAATTTTCATAGTCAGCAAAAAATTAACACCAATTTTTACTATTGAGAGTTTTCATTTGAAATAATAGCAATTTATTTTCGGAGGATGTAAGAATAATAAGATTTTCTCACCGAAAGTTTTGAAGGAGTTTTCTTGAACTGTCTTCAATTTATTAATATATTTACTAGCATATTTAAGAACAAGATTTTTATGACATAAGGATCGTTAAGCTTTTTGTATAACGCTTAACGAAACCTGAGACGGAATTAGTATGGCTGCGATGTTGTAGTGTTACCTGGATATTAACTTATTGTCAAATAAAACTTGTAAATTTGTAATACAAAAAAATTCTTTTAAGTTTATCTTTATTCAAGAAATACTAAGATATTTTGGATAACGATCGACGAGTGTAGCTGACAACAGAATATTTAGTGGCATTAAGGCCTAATCAATTAAATTTACACCAATTTGCAAATGAATTCAGATCATAATCTAGCTATTTGTAAAGGAATTTCATTTTTGCAGATTATTTTCATCCACGTAAATACTTATCTTAGTAATTTTTAGCACTTTTGTAAAAAATTTTTGAAAAAAGTGCTTATTAGTTTCACTCTGTCCGTCCGTCTGTCCGTGTGTCTGTTTACAAAACTTTTACACCCTTGAAAATAAAAAGCTGAAATTTTATACGTACATAGATCTTTACTAGAAACCTTTTTCCGTAGAACAAATAATTTCACCTATCTTTCCTCCTGTAAAAGTTACTCGTGCTCCACCCAAAAATCCAAAGAATGGCATTTTTTAACTATTTATTGCAAAGAAGCCATAAACATTTTTCAAATTTTGCAAAAGCTGAAAAATAGTAGCTGGCTTCTTCTATCGCGGCATACCATTTCTGTACTTTAAAAGAACAAAATGGCCGTTAAAATTTACCGTTATCTAAAATCCGTTTTTTCCAAATTTTCGATGCCAAAAATTGTTTTTCTTCTACAAAGTATGTTACAGGAGTCTAAAGTTTTAGCAACTCTTCGATATTCATAAATAGTTATTTCGTTAGAAAAAAAATTTTTCCCATCTCCACCCTCTCTCAAGTTATCATCTTACAAAATTTGTAAAATTTGAATATTTGCCACCTTATATTTGCGAAATCACAAGCTTTTTCAAATTTCTTTAAACGCAAAAATCTAACGGTAAATTCTTTTTTTTAACTGATACAATTAACTCTTAAAATCAAGCATCATGTGAACCCTTCTTTAAATTTATTTTTGCTTTATTTGATACTGCATAAGTCGTTCATCCTAAATGTATGCAATCCTAGAAATAGTTTCATATATGAATGAAAATAATTCTAATAGCGTTGTAGGCATACATAGACTATATTAAAAGCACTATTTTCATTTGTTGAAGCGAAAAGTGCTACAATACAAACCATTGACCCAAATTTATTCTAATACAAGTAACATCGTTAATACTAATTATAAATAGAAGATGCACCAAACAACTAGTTCGAGGTAAATTAGATTATGCAGCAAAATAATTAAAAGCAAGAGCGAAAAGTAACACGGTATTTTCTGCAAAACAGATAAGAACTAATCCATTAAATAAAGGTGTATGGAAAGTCGTTCTTTTTTAGCTTAATATTAAAATAAAGTTGAGTTAAAGTTGGTTTATAATGTAGTACTTTTCCCTTTAACAAGTGAAAATAAGTGCTTTTAAAAAATTTTTAGTTATGTAACTACATTATTAAAATTACTTTAATTTGCATGTACAAAAATGTTTTAGTGGATGCAATCTTTGCAATGAAACAAGAAAAAAATTAAAAGTGGAGTTAACATAATGCTCGAATTTAAGGGTTAGTTGCTTGAGTTAAGAAAAATAATTATATTTTTTAATGGCATGGTATTTACCGTTACCGCATTTATAGATATTTGGATATTCTTGCATTTCTGGAAATATAAGGCGTCAAAAACTCAAATTTTACAAATTCAAGGAGGAGATAAGAGAGGGTGGAGGTGGAAAAAATTTTGCTTTTACGTTTAAAAGCTGCTAAAATTTCAGGCTCCTAGAATTTGAGGTCCAGAAGAAAAACGATATCAAAAATAAAATTTCAAAAACGGGAAAAACGGTTTCTAGATAACATTTTAACTGCCATTTTGTTATTTTAGTTCCGATTTGGTATGTTGCAGCAGAAGAAGTCAGTTACTACTTTTTCTGTGTTTGCAAAATCTGAATAATACTTACGATTTCGCTGTAATAAAAAATTAAAAAATCTGATGTGTTCAGCACATAACCGACCGCAATATGTACTGTCCAGTTAGGTGAAAGTGTTACAGAAGATTATTAAAATACTTTTTAAATACTTTCTCTTAAATTTTAGAACGTCAGTAAGCTTTGTGCCATCCGAATTCCGGCTGTTAGTCTCGGCTGTTAGTTTCCGTAGCAACCAGAATTCAAATATCAAATTTCGAGAAATTCTATTAAATCGTTCCGCAGATATGATAAAAAATGTAAAATCCGGTCCCAGTTTGGTTTCCGGTCTCTGATCTTTCCAAAAAATTTATAGATTCATTGTTTTAATACTACTAATTCAATTGTTAAATTTCAAGAAAATTGGTTGATTATTTCTCTCTATATACAGAAAAATTCGAAATTTGCCTCCAAAAAAAGAAATTTCCGTAGGCTTGATATATCCCTAAAGTTGAACAATCTGTGACATAGCCAAAATAAACTTACATATAAAATTTAATGAAAATCGGTTTAGCTGAACTTGAGATACACACGTGCACACACCGACACATCTCTAAAAATAGTTTATTTACGCTTCCCTACTATGGAAAAATGCGTTCCCACCGAAAAATCGATAAGAAAAATATGTTGCCATTACATGATCTCCCTTATTGTATGCAATGCGGGCGGTAAAAATGGCATTTT